CCCCACCCCCACACACACCAACACACACCAACACACACACCAACACACACACCACACACACCAACACACACCAACACACACCAACACACACCAACACACACCAACACACACACACACACAACCAACACACACCAACACACACCAACACACCCCAACACTCACCAACACTCACCAACACTCGTCAAAAACACACCAACCCACACCAACACACACCAACCACACCAACACACACCAACACACACCAACACACACCAACACACACCAACACACCCCAAACACACACCAACACACACCAACACACACACACACCAACACACAAAACCAACACACACACCAACACACCCCAACACACACCAACACACACAAACCAAAACACACACCAAGACACACCCCCCAACACACACCCAACACCCCCCAAACACACCCCCAGCACACACACCCAACACACACACCCCAACACACACCCCCCCAACACACACACCCCAACACACACCCCAACACACACCCCAAACCACACCCCCCAACACACAACCCCAAACACACCACACACACACACACCAACACACACACATACACACACCCCAACACACACCCCAACACACACACATACACACACCCCAACACACCCCAACACACCCAAACCCACCCCCCAAACACACACACCACAGCACACACCCCAACACACACACCCCAACACACACACCCCAACACACAAAACCCCAACACACACCCCAACACACACCCCAACACACACACACACACCAACACACACATACACACACCCCAACACACACCCCAACACACCCCAACACACCCCAACACACACACACACACACACACAAAACACACACACACACACACACACACACACACACACCACACACACACACACCCCACTCACACCACAACAACATTCGACATATTCGGAGGAATTGATAAGGTAAACATGGATAGGCTGTTTGAGAGGCAGGAAATGAGAACTCGGGGACACTGCTGGACATTAAAGCCACTGATGAGCCATCGGAATGTTAGGAATATTTCTTCAGTCTCAGAATGGTCTTGAGGTGAATTGATCTTGGTGGGGAAATGGTGGAGGCAGACTCCAAGCATAGTTATAAGAACATGTACAATAGGGCTCGTGAGGCTAAGAGGGATAGTGGCAAGCTACGAGGCAGGGTTAGGATTTGAGAGTTGACCCCTGCAACCACAGATAAGCAAGCACAACTGGGTATGTACACACACGCATGTATGAGGAATGCTTTCTTTATTAAATATACAGGATATTCGTTATACATTGTATGTTTAATATTCAAGGAAGCATTCCACACACGCATATGCATACAAAAGACAGAGACTTGACTCAATCATACACATACACCCCACCAGTCTTCCTTTTTATCAGTGCATGTCAATTACTATATCAGCTTCCTTACCTATATATATATATATATATATATATATATATATATATATATATATATATATATATATATATATTATATATATATATATATATATATATATATATATATATATATACATATACATACATACATACATACATACATACATACATACATACATACATACATACATACATACATACATATATACAGTGGACCCCCGGTTAACGAACTTTTTTCATTTCAGTAGTATGTTCAGGTGCCAGTACTGACCGAATTTTTTCCCATAAGGAATATTGTGAAGTAGATTAGTCCATTTCAGACCCCCAAACATACACGTACAAACGCACTTACATAAATACACTTACATAATTGGTCGCATTTGGAGGTGATCGTTAAGCGGGGGTCCACTGTATATCATATTCTTTTTTAGAAATAATACTGTCATCTGTATATTTAAAGTTTGATCTTTGATAATGCACCGGGGGTCTTCCAATAATGTAGGGTCCCCCTCCCCCAGAAAAAGAAAGTGGAAATTTATTCACTGTCATTCATTTATTTTTATGTACCAAATTTACAACCATATCCATTATTTAACCACCTTCATTATATGCATAGGGCAGTCATGGAAACAACAGAAACTTGGCATTTTCTAACAGTTGTCGTAATATACCAGTTACTCTTTATGCTGTTAACTTCAACATATTCCCTATTTAATGGGATTTCCTTCCATAAAGCTTTCAACTTCATATTAGCTCTGGATAAGAAATGTCTAAAATGAACGGTAATGTCTTAATGTGTACTGTTAATCTCAATGCTTATATTATTTTGTTGTATGATTTAATTATTGTTTTAATTTCAACAGACAAATTTATGTGGAGTTGACATCTATGTACGAGTATTAACAACTGGGTACTGGCCCACACAGTCAGCTAATCTGAAAGCCAATGTTCCCATGGCTCCTAGAAGTGCCTTTGAGGCCTTTCGGAGATTCTACCTCAACAAGCACAGTGGCAGACAGCTGACTCTTCAACCACAGTTGGGGTTAGTCTTACTCAGCAATCAGTTTATCAGTCATCTGCTTTTATTACTAATTGGTACTTGATAAGCTTTGTGCAGTGCTTTTGATATCCGTCTGTTTCATGAACAAGTAAGATGGCAGGTAAATCTACAAATTTTTTACATTCACTATCCCTTTTACCTTTGCTTTCCTGGGTGTTTTCAGGATTTTTTCATCTAATAGGGGTTTTGTTTTTCCCAAATTTAAAGGGAAAAAATTTCCTATCTCCCCACTAATTATGTTTAAAAAATTTTAATAAAGTAAATATTAATTGCCACTTTTGGACATGTGCCTCTGTAAACAGTACAGTTTTAACAATTTACATTTTTAACCCAAATTTTCAATTTTTCGAAAAGGGGCATTATCATATTTATTTTTAGGGGTTTCCCCTTTTGGAAATTTTTACAAGAGAAAAAACCCCAAAATGCTTGCAAATTCCCCTTCTGTTTTTAATTTCAGACATTTTAAATTTTAAATTTTCTTTTTTAAACCCTCCACTTTTACTCACGGTTTGACAAGAATGTTTAAATATCCTTTTGGAAACCTTTTTCTTTAGTTTAAAACCCCCAAATTTTTTGGGTTTTTTTGTTTATGGTTTTTGGGCCAATTTTTAGCTGTGTTTGGGTTTTAAATTTTCTTTTTTTTTATTTTTTTTTTAAAATTTTTTTAAAGGATCGACTGTTACCATTTAATGGTTTTTGGTTGTGTAGGAAAGCACAAAAGGGAAAATAAAAGTAAAATAAGGTAACATAAAAAAAAGGGACAATTATGAAAAAGAGCAGGGGAAATGAGCTATTGTTCAGATTTCCCAATTTGGGGTGTGGCAAAATTTGTTGTTTTTCTTTTGAATAACCATTTTTGGGGAGGAAGGATATTTACTCATTTGCCTTTCATTAGAGTTACTTTTGGCAACAAAAAACCTTAGAAATTAAATTTTTCAAAACCCAACCCCCAGGGGGGTATGCTTTTTAAGAACGGGAGGGCAGATTTTCACAACTGGGGGAAAGGGGTGGGTGATTTTCCCAAGTTATAAAAAGAATTCAAATTCTGCGAAAAAAATGCATTTCCCAGTGCTGGGGCGTGTGATTCAGGGAGCTTGAAAAATTTAAGGGGGGTTGATAAATTTCATATTTTTGCCTCCCTATTTTGGGTTTTAAAATTTCGTCTTACCCTTTGGGTTTTTTTTTTTTTTTTAAAACTTAGGGGGACAGATTCAATTGTTTGGGGTTAGTTTGAAAATTTTGCTGTAAGAGCATCCCTTGGGGGTCTTAATGCATTTTGAAATGGGAAAAGGGGTTTTTTTTTTTTAAAAAAATTTTGCATTTAAATGGTGTCATTGCTTTTTAAAATTACGTATTTTGAAACAGTAAAAATATTAGTTTTTTTTTTAATGTTTTTAAAACAATTTTTTAAATTTCCCTGGGGTCGCAGATCTTAATGCTTTTTTCCAGGGCTCGAAAAAGAAAAAGCAATGTCACCCACCCTTTGTGGTTTTTTGGGGCGGTAGTTTCTTGGCGCTGTACCTCGGGAAACGTAAGCAGTGTTGCTGGTTTATCTTTTTCCCTCATCAGTTGGGGGTGGAACAAGTATTTAATTTGGTTTAGTCCCCCATTTTAACCCCCCCGGGAAGGGCCCATTTCCAAACAAACGCCTGCAACCCCATCAGGATAAAGGGGTATTGGTGAAAAAACCCTCAGGCCCCAAGAAAACATTTTTCAAGTGTTACGACCCAAAGGGTCATACTTATGTTTTAAATTTACCGGGGATAAGCTCACAAAATGGGGTTGGGGTATGGGGTTACTTTTTAAAAGTGCTACAGCTTTTAACCTTTTATGTATAAAATTTTTTATTTAACCAAAACTTGGTCCTGGAAAAGGAAGTTGGGATTCTCCCACTCAAAAGGGGGGTTTTTGGGGTATTGGCAGTTTGGGGGGGATATGTTGTTTTTTTTTAAACGTTATACTTCAACGTTTATTCGGGGCACCTCTGCAAAAACAGTGTTTATTGTAGTGGGGGGGTGAAAGGGGTTGAATGATATAAAAGTATTTTCCTTTTTGGGGATTTTTCTTTTCTCTTTGGGTAACCCCCTCCCTCGGGGGAAAGGGGCCCGTTTTTAAAAAAAAAAAAAAAAAAAAAAAAATTTTTAAATTTTTAAATATTTATAATATATTTATATATATTTTATATTTATTTTTTTTTTAATTTTTTTTTTTATCACCCCGGGCCCGATTCCCCCCAAAGGGCCCGGGGGGCCCCGAAAAAAAAAAACTTCACCATCATTCACCCCATCACGTCTTGCCAGAAGGGTGTTTTAACACTACATTTTTAAACTGCAACATTAAAAAACCCCCCCTTTCCCAAGAGTGCAGGACGTATTTCCCACTCCAGGACTCAAGCCCGGCCTCCCTTTCCCCAAACCCCCTTTCAAAAAGTTACTTTCTAAACACCCCAACACCTTTCAATTTTAAAAAACCATTTTTTCTCCTTTCCCATTTCCAAACAAACACGTCACGCAGCCCGCGGGAAGTCCCAAGCCCCCGCAAAACAAAACCCCCCTTTACCCCCCCCCCCAACCCCTTTCCCTGGGCCCAAACCCCCTACCCCCCCCTTTCCCTTTCCCACAACGACTGATACACTTTTTGGAAGTCTTTCTTTTTCGCTCCATTCTCTTACTTTCCGAACCACCTCAAAAAACCCCTTCCCCCAGCCCTCTGGACAACATTTTGGAAATTTTCCCGCCCTCCTCCTAATTTCCCAAAATTTACGAATTTCCCTCTGCATTATATTCACACCACACATTGCCCTAACATGACATCTCCATTTCCCCCCACCTTCCCTCCTCGTTGAAAACATTCATCACCCCCGTTTCAAAACCCATATAAACGTTGGTAAAACTATACTTTTATACATTTCCCCTCTTTGCTCCAAGGACAAAGTTCTTTGCTCCACAGCCCTCCCAGTGCCCATCATCTTTTTCCCTCATCAATTCATGTTCACCTCTTCTTTCATAGCCCCTCCGCTGACACGTCCCCCCCCAAAATATCTGAATACGTTCACCTCATCCTATCTCCCCCTCCAATCTGATATTCAATTTTTAATCCCCCCTAATTTTTTTGTTATCCCATAACCTTCCCTTTTCCGAAATTCACCTTTAATTTTTTCTTTTTTTTATAATTTATACGGGAAAGGGGTTTTACACCCCTTTTGCCCCCGGGCATTTTACCCCCCTAAAATTCGACACCATGGTTTAAACGGGGGAAAAATTTTTCTTTTCCATTTCCCCTTTGGAAAATTAAAAGAAAAAAAAAAAGAACAAAGCTTTTTAGAAAAAGGAGAAAAACCTAGATTATGTATAATTTATATGCATGTCGTGTCTATAAAGTTCCCAAAAAAGTGTAAGTAGGAGTACAAGATATCCCTTTATCTTAGCGTTTTTATGAGACAGAAAAAAAAAACCAGCAATCCAAACCATCACCCAAAACATTTACGGGTTTTTGTTTCACAGTAACGGGCAGGAGGGTATAACTCCCTGGGTGGTTGCTGTTTTAAAAAACCCCCAAACCAAACTACCTATATAAATATATATATATATTTTTCTTCTTTTTTTCTTTCAAAAACCCCGGGGCCGTACCCCCGAGGGGGGGGGCCCCAAAAAGGGAAAAAAAGAAAGTTTCTCCTTTTACTTTTAGTAATATATAAAGGGGGAAGGGGTTAAGCCCCTTCTCCCCATTTTATCGCCTCTTTAAAACCTTTTTGGTTAGGGGGGGAAGAATTTTGTTCCACTTCCCCCATGGAGATAAGGGGAAATAAACAAAACAAAACAAAAAGAAAATAGAAAAAACCCGGGGGGTTTATTTTAATTTTCTTGTATAGTATTTGTATTGTAAACCTAAGTGTAAGTAGAAGTAGCATGACGTACCGGGAAACCCTTGAAATTTCATAGACGGGAAAAATGGACCCCCAACCAATCCTCCCCACCCAGGGAAAAAAAAAACGGGCTTTCTTTTACACTCACTTGGGCCCAAGAGGGTAGTACCCCCCTGGGGGTTTGCTACCTTTCCCTGCCAATGATTGAAAAACAAAACCTTAATTGTTTTAAATGATTTTTGGATTGCGGGTTTTTTTTTTTTCTGTCTCTTTACCCATGCAAGATTTCGGGGAAACCTTGCATTTTTATTTTACATTAGGTCCATACACATAATGTAAAAGGCTTTATATAACACACACCCCCCTGGTTTTCTGCTATTTTCTTTCTATTTTCTTGTTCTTTTTTTTTTCCTTTTAAATCTCCAGGGGGAAAGGGAGCAAATTCTTCCTTTGAAAACCCAAAGCGGGGTTGTAATGGGGCACTAAATTGCCGGGAGAAAGGGGGATTAACCCCTTCCCTGTTTTTTTTTAAAAATTTAAAACGAGAAACTTCTTTTTTTTCTTTGGGGGCCCCCCCCCAACCCTTTCATTGGGATACGGTGGTGCGTTTGAAAAAAGAAAGAAAATACTATAAAATTATTTTTATTTTTTTAATTTATTTTTTCTGGGTAGTTTTTTGGTGACGGGCAACCGCCCAGGGGGGTACTACCCCCCTTCCCAAGTGATTTAAAACAAAAAGCCTGAAAATTGTTTTACAAAAATTGTAGGTTTTACGGGTTTGTCCTTTTTTCTGTCTCAAAAACATACAAGTTTTCGGTATGCCCTTGCTACAACTTTTTACCCCATGGGTCACAAACACATACATGACAAGCTATTTTATTTTATATATTTTTTTTTTTTTTTTTTAAAAACAATCGGCCGTCCCCAAAAGGGGAAGGGTGACCCAAAAAAAAAAAAAAAAACCCCCAAAAAAAAAAATTCCCTTTTCTTCATCATTCAACATTTTTCCCCACCGCCTTACACTTTTTTTGCAGAGGTGCTCAAAATTTACAACAGTCAAAAGAATACCCCATATAAAATTACCCCAACATTCCCCCAAACTGCCAATACCCCCAAACCCCCCCTTTTAAAAGTGCGGGCTTTGGGAAATTCCCATTTCCGGGACTAAAG